GCCAGAGTAGATTCTTCAGTATAGGGGTGATGTGGTTTGATTTTCTTGTTCTCTTGATTAATCGTGCAGCTGAATTCTGGACTTTTTGTTGATGAGACGGTTTGGGAGGCTATAAAGAAGTGAATTGCAGTAGTCAAGATGAGACATAACACAGGCTTGCACAAGAACAAACAATTGTCATATGCATATCGACGTAACACTTTTTTCAATTATTTGAAAAAGGTAACAAAGATCGATAAATTTTCATTACAGAACCACGTGGTTCTGTCTATCGTTTAGCTTGGTTGGTACTGCCAATCAGTAGTGCAGGCAGAGCATATTCTTGCAGCTAATGTAACCTTTCAAAATCCGACGCATTTGGATTGCACAAGCCAGTGATACAAGATCTAATTAAAAGGTGAGTAACAGTGAACGGCAAATAGAACTGTTGCCTTTAAATTGAACAATCGAGTAAAAGGTGACTTTCGATGGGCTATACAATGTGACAATATATCCTCTTGAAATTTTCATGCTTAGTGTGACATGAAAGTTCAAATCATTATTGATGTATTTTGATAGCTCTATGTTGAAAGATGATAATAAAGTAGCAGTGAAAAGCAAGCATAATTGTTGCAATGTACATAATGTATCGTAATGCTTGTCCTTGGAAATGTATTTTATACTCCATACATGAAAATGTTTCAGCATCTTCTGACCAACATGGTCCCTGCCTGGCGTTCGGCATTAATGGGTACAACAAGGACTCGGGGGCTCGGAGTCAGTATAATGTGTCTGAGTGGGGTATTCATGCTTCACTGCGGCATGGTATCTGAGTGGGCTAGCACTATAAAACCAGCTTCAGTCTGGGCTAGTACAAGCAGCTGCACGTACACATACACACGCACGCACGTCGGTCATATGAGCGAAATATTCTCAAGCACGACGTTAAACCCAATTTCACCTCACCTCACCTGACCAACACATACTTGTTTTGTATTATGCACTGTGTGTATACCATCCCCAGCACAGATGAGATTTCGCGCGCCTATTGATATTATCTAGATAACTGCATAATACCATACATGCAATGTCACATTTTTCTACCAAAGCTTCCTGACAGAGAGTGAGTGAGTGAGTGAATTTAGTTTTACGCCACTTTTATCAATATTTCCAGCAATATCACGGCGGTTGATACCAGAAATGTGGGGAATCGACCCCCTCCCCCCCCTTTCTGACAGAATATCAGTTATTTACAATATCACTTGCAACAATGGATCGGCAAATTATGTCTCTCTCAAAGTATGACAGTCTTTAACAATTACAGTCAACACAAGAGTTAAAAAACTTCTAATGAAATTGGTTACTGTAACTTAAAACAATAAAATGACATTGTATTTTCCCTTCAAACTAATACATAAGAATTTAAAATATAGTCTGTTAAATATATCATATTTCATGTAATCTCACTGATAGATGAGGAGATTTACATTCAACAATCCAATGATTCAGGGAAGTATGCAGACACCCGCATATCACCAGAGAGGGGTAGTCTAGTTATGGAGGCCATTAGAGAATGATGGCTTTCCTGCACCCATTCCTGATATCATGTTGCTAATGGAGTCCTTATGAATATGATGTCATTTTACTGGTTCTGGTATTATCAACTTCGGATAGAATAGAACAAACCGTATCATTCACCATTTCTCTACCGGTTCCAGACAGGCACTGACATATGTTATGTTACAGTTGCAGACCTTTTTCATGTACTTACTTATATACCATTCAACATACCGAATAATTTGTTTCACGGTCAGTCAAATGCATCTTTAAACCATAAATATCTGTTCATGAGCATAAATACAGACAATGTCATATCTAATGGCAGATGAAGGTCCTTCAGTTTCTTCGACACAAGGCCCTCCTCATTTCTACCATTATCGCCGTTGTACTGGGAATTGTGGCTGGTATTATGTGCCGGTCTCTTAAGCCAACCCTGACGCTATTCAGTTGGTGCGGTTTCCTGGAGAGCTTTTCCTTCGTATGCTCAAGATGCTGATGCTGCCTCTGATAGCCGCCAGTATTATTACAGGTAAGTTTACCATATTCGTTGGTTGACGTTGTAGTATCCACCAGGAACACTTGTCGACAATGTCTACTTATTCCTATTATATTGCAAATAATGACATGCCAATTTTTCACATTTGTAATAAGGTACATCTAGTTAACATTATAGTTGCTATTTTGTAGTAGGAGTAGATACCAACACAACAAAGTGAACTACCAATATTGTTTGCCCTTAATGTTCTCTATCTGTAAGTCGGATTTAACCCGTCCTTGCAACGTGCTACATTGATAGATATCAACTGGATAAATGGACAACCCATGTTGAGTACGCAATTCATGTTATTCTTAAAAAGCCAAAACTGAAAAATGTAACGTATGCCAATATTATGAAGGATTTTGATAGACTACTATTTAATTTTTCATTTTGTGAGCATTTATCTCAGAAATATTCTTTTCGGCGCATGGATTAAACCTCGCCATGTACATCCCGACCAACTCGATCTCTCTAGTGTCATATCCATGTAGTACATGACGTGGGATTTCTGAAAAATCAACGTGGATAATTGCACTCTATTATTTGATGTATCTTAAGGGAAGAACCAAACCATATATATGTTTCTTGAAGGTCTGGGGAATATGAAGGGTTCATCTGCCGGACGGATGGGTGTACTTTCTATGGTTTACTATGCAAAGTACCTCTGTTGCTGCAACACGCTCGTTGGTTTGGCATTAGTCCTGAGCATCAAACCTGGATCATACTCAGACTCATCAACAACCGACATTCAACACAATGATGCCATGGCGTCAGCAATCGATATCATTTTGGATTTAATGAGGTAGGGTTGTTTTGTTGTTTAATGCAGCACTCAACTATATTCCTGGTATATAGCGTCGGTCTGTAAATAATTTAGTCTGGACCAGACAATCCATTGACTGACATCATGAGCATCTGTTTACGCACGTAGGGTATGATGATATGCATCAGCCATGTCAGACTGTGCAGTACCATCAGCTGTTTCAGCCAAGTGTGATTTCCCGAAGACAATTTTAATGCGTCTCCCAAGATGCGTTAATGTAGGGCATCTGCAAAGGCAGACTCATTTCGCATCATGTAATAGATTTAAAAGGGCAAATATGTGCAAACATCTGTGTTATTACATATTAGCATTATATCAGAGAATACATACACATAATTTCTATTTCAGTATATGAAAAAGTTTAACAATTTGTCATTTAAATACATATTGGAGACAAGTGATTCAAATTGTGCTTGTATATCGTCCTTCATTTAGACAATAGTTTGGTAGGAACAGCATACTAAGTAAATTACAAAGTATTCCGTGTTGCTTATAATACCAGGGACTATGACTTTGTTTAATATTGCTATATGTAGCAGTTTGTATTTGCAACACATATCCAGACACATACTTATGACCAGAAAATCACCTTTTTATCAAAATGATGACTAGAATACGTCCAATTCATGTTTTGAGGGGATTTCATCAGTTCTCCGCTGGATACAGCATAAAGCAAACATATCCGATTATTATGTAAAATTCCTTTCATACATGATAGGTCACTTTTCATTTTGTTCGGCAGAAACATAGTTCCTGACAATTTAGTTGCTGCTACAGTCCAACACTCTAGAACTGAGACGGTAGTTCATGAAGTAGAGTTCCGGGACGATGTCAATTCCAGTTCTGGTGGTGATTATAGGAAATCCACCAACCTAAGCCGACATTTTACAGCAAAGAAAACGGTGATGGTTGATGGTGCAAATGTCATAGGTATTCTTACAACTTGTTGCTGACGTTTCTAGATAGTTGGGTAGGACCTTCTGAAATGTGTTTGTGCAGATGGATCGTTCAGTACGTTGGGTATATAACCGAGTTCCTCCTCTACATAAACCAACATGCACTTTTGGACCAGGAAAACCAAACTCATACTTATTGTAATCAGAAGATCATTTTCAAATGTGGTTTCTAAAACGCACCAGGTATGTATGAGTTCCCAATCTCGTTGACATCGAAAAACATAATGGTTTTCATTACCAAGGCAGTTACGGTTATATAATGTACTGTTAATCGGTAGGCGTTTCATGCAATCTTCGTCCATCAGTTGCTGGTCGATCATTTTAAAAGGTTCAAGTAATGTTTCTTGGTCAATGGTAATAGATAACATTCAAAGATACCAGAGTTTTTTTAATTTGATGATCTTTCTACATTTTGAATGCCATTCATAAATAAACTTGTCATGACAGCAATTTGTGTGGTCACACAATGTCAAAACAGAAGATTAGCAAACCATGCCAGAACCTCCTTTGTTTAAACTGTAGTTTTTCATCTTTGAAGAAAACATCGAATTACAACCAATGCTACAACATGCGATAATGACTAACATATACACAAGGAATAACAGCACCTATTCTCGCTCCCCAAAACAACACCCCCGGCCCAATAAAAAACAAAACAACAACAAACACCCTCAAAAAACAAAAACAAGCAAAAACGCAAAACCCCAACTAATTTGGATATCGTAAATAGAAACTAAACACCCCCGAATAAAATTAAAAACAATGTCAGGAACATTTCAGAAGACATCAGAGAAGAACGTAAATACATAGAATCATTGTTGCTAGACATACTTTTTCATCAAACGTTACTTTTGTAATATATCCCATGGTTACATCGGTTAAACTGAATCAGTGTCAGTGAATTGTTGTTTTGCATCCTTCTCGTATGATCAGTTCATTAAAATAAATATCGCGGCGAAAGTCCCCAAAACACAGAAAATACTCCATCCATACCAATTGCTTATCCAGAAAGTTTGAACAATTGAACTTCGATAAATGATGTTCAGTTATTCCAACTATTTCTCTTGGCAGGTGTCATTACCTACTGCATTGTTTTCGGTGTGACTCTAAACCAACTTGGATGTCGTGGAGGGTGGTGGCACAATTCTTCACCATCATCAACCTCGTTACCTTCAAAATGATCACACTTGTCATGTGGTGGGTAAACGCGAGAGAGACTGAGAGAGTTTATTCTTGCGTGCTTCGTTAACCGACAAACACAGGGTCATGGGCAATGTGTAACTTGTTTCACTCAAATAACTGATTATGTTTATTACTAGAATAAATCTTCACTGTCTGTTTGTATCATACTTGCATTTTCCAGGTATTCACCAGTTGGCATCCTGTTTCTCATTACTGGCCAAATAATATCCACAACTGACCTGACGGAGACTGGACAAACACTGGCTATGTATATTGCAACTGAAATGGCTGGATTGGCGATCCATTTATTGGTGGTCCTTCCTGGCTTGTATTGTGTTCTGACCAGAAAGAACCCATATTCAATACACCTCAAGGCAATACAAGCTCTAATAACAGCCTTGGCAACAAGCTCCAGGTATATATGTTCACAGTTCAAATTATCTCACTGACTGCGTTCGTTATATACATCATATTTGCTTCTAGGTTACAGGATGGAACACAATTTACCGATGCTAACTATAATGAAGAATGTCATATCATTATAATTATCAAATGATATATAATGAAGACAGAGGGAGAATATTCTGGCTATTAGGGTAGGCTAAAAGTATCACTACATTGGCGCTCGTATTCGATTACATACAATACGGTTACCTTTGAAAAGATGAGACTAATTTGGCCAGCAGGCTGTGTGACTTTGTGTTTGGATTAACTGTTTTGAAACCTTTATTAGACTTGGTAATCCGACCTGTTTAATTATGGCTGCATTACGCCCGTACGACCACATTAATCTTTTATTTGCATATGAAACTGTATTGATAATGTTCACGTCAAATGTGGAGAACTAATTAATGTATACGTGCAGCTGTTCTTATGAAACAGGACTGTTACAATAGGCGGCAACATATGTTTAGAATATTGTAAGAATATGTGCAATATGCAGAAACAGTGTCCGTGCTCATCCTTAGTCATTATAACAATCGAAATCTAACATTACCTGAAATACTGACACTGCGACGGTTCATTTCAACTGATTCAAGCTCCGATCTGAATGATCAAATGAATTCTTATTATTTATCATTTATCGTACCCTTTTCAAAAATGAAATTTACGAAATTCAATACGAAATCAGAATACATGCACAGAACGTGTATTGAAAATCTCAGTCTATGACTTCATGTTCTACGCTTTTGTAAAAGCTCGTTTACATGCACTAACCCGTACAGATCCGGGCTAGAATTGATCTTCAGCAACCCAGGCTTGGCGTAAGGGGCAATCTGGTGGTCAGGCTCACTGCAGGAGTTTTGGTGTGAGCGGCGTTTAACAAACAAACAAACACACAATCAAACAAACAAACAACTTTAATGCATTAAATAGGAAACGTACATCGGCAGCTTTGTCGAGGATATTTACTGACCATGGCATGTGCACCTCGCTGTTGTGTCACTCCATCTCCTGGCAGCCAGTTTGCATTTGAAGACTTCGCGTAAAGTCCTGAGTTGGCGAAATATTGTAGCCTCGCTTTACTCAGCTCAATCAAACATGATCAATCAGTTGATACGATGTTGCGATTGTGAATCAGGAATTAGCAGCTCAGCCTACTTAACGTGTCAGATGGATCTATTCACAGTGCTGCCACGCTGCCGGTGACGATGCAGTGTGTGGAGCAGCGGATGAAGATGGACACACGGATTTCCCGTTTCATCCTCCCAGTCGGTGCCACAGTCAACATGGACGGCGGTGCTGTGTTTGCTGCCATTGCTCCGATGTTCATTGCTCAGTACAATGGGATCAGCCTGACATTCGGAGATGTAATAATTATAAGGTATGTTTGTAATCTTGGTAGGTTCTGGGGTACAGTTGGTAAGGCAAACACTCGTATAGATGAGTAATTATAAGATCGTTAGACCGTTTGGGCTCTTACTACAACAGAGGGATCCACAACAAATATAATTCGGCGCTCGGTTCATTTGGAGCATGTAGTCAGTTGAGGATGCTATAGTAGGAGATTGAAAATTTTGAGGGGGCCAACCTAGTTCCCGTTCTCTTCCCCAGTATCACTATAAGTCTCATTTACTCGCCGGTAAATCCAAAAAATCTTACAGGCGCAGAACGTTCTTCACAAACATAAACCTAGAGAACTAGTTCCTAGATAATACAAGGTTGTGGTTTATATTTACATGTATACTCCTCACACAATAATAAGCAACAAGTATTTACAGTGTAATATCTTTATCAATCTCGATAGCGATTTTTGCCGACATGTTACTGAAAGGTAAATATTCAAAGAATACATAACCTATAGTGACTGCCAAATTGATTTATCTGATAACATTGACAACATCACCCGAGCACAACCTCACTCAGAAACAACATGCAATTTCAAAATGTTTGGCATGAATGTGCTCCACTCTTCACACATGCACCCTGATCGGTGTAAACCTACCTGTAATCATTCCCCTGGTACAACAAGCGGATCCTAATTTCATTTTTATGGATGATAATGCCTGTCCATGGATGATAATGCCCGAGAAAATGTTTACGATGTTGTTTAGATCAACAACATAACACATATGGACTGGCCTGCAAGGTCACGTGATCTTAATCCCATTGAACATGCTTGGGACATTATTGGAAATCGTGTTTACGGTCTCCATGTTCATCCCCAGAATTTGGATGACCTTGAGCAGACGTTACAGAGAGAGAGAATGGCAGAACATTCCACAAAAGCAGCTTTAAAGGCTTATTTGGTCAACGCAAAGACATGTAGAAGCTTGCATTTGTGCTCATTGTGGTCATACGCGTTACTGAACACTGCTTCACTGTCCAAAACTGTCTTGAAATTAATGTAATCATTTTGCTCCATCGGCGCGGCACATTTTGCACGACTATGTTGCGGGTACATGCTTTTAATGATGTGTAAGTCTTTTACTGGTCAATACTATTTCATTTCATTTTGTTAATCGTGTGTACATATGATTCACCTTTCTATTGCATCATTCCATGATTTGCAATGTAAATAAACTTAAAATGTAATCAGACTACAAATTTGCGTTGCTTATTAACTTTTTGTGAGGAGTATATATTACGGTGTAGATATAGAAAATATAATGTATGAATATCAATAAATTTTATATGTTGCATCTGCGCACCAAATACGATTTTTGCTTCTCTGATTCCACACAACTGAGCTCTGTAAATACCAATCCAGCGTACCAAAATGTGCTTGACAGCCAGTCTCCTTATTTAGTACTTTCTCAAAACAGACAGACAACCTCTTTCAGTGAATTAGGCCACCGGCCCATAATACCAGCAGAGTACAAGGTAAAACGCATTAGTGCGCACATAAACTGCGAGTATAGGTTGAAGTCACAAGCTCGTAACAGTAAAAAGAAGTGGATGTAAAATGCCCATATTGTACATAACAGAATGTTTCACGGTAAACGTTTGGGTTGTCTTTAAGAAAACAGTGTAGATTCTTTTGTACATATCTATTTGTGCTAACAATGATACAAACATATTCAGCATTTTATACATTTTGTTAATAAATTGATTAACATATTTCATTTTTAATTCGTTAAACAAGTTACATTCAAACAATACATGGATTTAATTTTCAACAAAATTCATACTTTGTTACTTACAGTCACTTCATAGTTGCTGTTCATATTGTGTTCTTGTGTATTGACCAATTTGGCATACAAGCTCAAATTACTACATTTAATATTCAAGTATTGGATTAAAATACCCAGGCATTTACACACAGATAGATTTCTACATGTAGTAGTGATTTATAAATGCTGGTTATGGAGTATATAAAGTATGACCGGAAATTATTGAGAATTTTAGGAATATGTTTAATTGGATTTCAAGTGCTTGGTTTCATTCAAGAGAGACAACTCCGTTAATCCTTTTTCATAAGTTTGTCAAGAGTTATCCCCCTTTGTTTACTTGCTAGCAGACGACATTTTCAGTGATCCTCAGAATGGATGATTTAGAGAAGAGGAAGTTGATTTTAGAGTATTATAACAAGGACATCAGATCAGCTAAAGTGGCATTGCTTTGTCCACTGTTTGTCGTGTTTTGAAAAATATTGCAAATGGGTATGGCATTGAGCACCAGGGAGGCGCAGGTAGGCCCAGAAAATTGACTGTGGGTGACAGGAGGCGGTTTGGTATTCTTGTTTCTAAAAAGAAACGGAGTTTAGAAAACTTAAGGCTGGATATAATTGATAGAGGAACTGTGGCTGTCTGTAAGGAGGCAATTAGATCTGAGCTGCATGCAATGGCTTGGCAGAAAAGTCGAGGAATTCCATCACCGATCATGAAACCTGAACAAAAGGAGCGAAGGTTGAACTGGTACTTACAGCATAGAAATTTTAACTGGGACAATGTGATTTTCTCAGATGAAAGTTCTGTGTGGCTGTTTCCTAATACACTGAAATTCTGGTCCAAACAAACTGAAAAACCTATGTATCAGCGCCCAAAGTATAGTCCGAAATTTAACGTGTGGGGTGGCATATCTGTGTTAGGGGCAACGCCCCTCTGTGTATTTGAAGGGATTATGAGCAGTGAGCGGTACACAGATATTCTCGAGGGACATTTACTTCCATCTGCTCACGTGTTCTATGGACATTTTGGGATTTTCCAGCAGTACAACGACCCAAAACATCGTTCAAAGCATTCACAGGCCTGGTTTCGGACCCAAATATGACATTATTAGATTGGCCAAGCTATAGCCCTGACCTAAATCCAATAGAAAATGTTTGGGGAGTTATAAAGGAAAGTGTCAATAAGAAAACTCTGACAAATATTGCTGAAAAGAAAGAAGAGGTGGTCCGATATTGGGACAGCATGGACCTCGACTTTCTAACTTCTTTGATCAGTAGTATGCCCCGCCGCATTGAAGCCTGCATTGCTGTCCATGGTGACTTGACGAAATACTAACTGTTCACCTGTCTTTGAATCTGGAGTTATGTCCTGCTAATATTTACATTTAATACGTGAGTAATGAGTGAAAAGAATAAAAAAAATTACAATCTTTAAATTCTCAATAATTTCTGGTTGTACTTGTATATTTGTTTACTTGATGTCCGCAGTGGAAAGCAGTAAACCATTCAGTTATCAAAATGGTTAACAGATAAAGGGTGTAAAAATGTGAATGGGTTTTGATTACCCAGCTGAATTCAGGTCATGTGTTTCTACTTTTCACTTACATTTTACATAAATAATAACCAGGAATTCCAAGGCAGTAGGATAAAGCAAGGCAGAGCATACTAGTATTATGTACTGAAATTATAAGCCTCAAAATCAGCTAACGTATCTTATTTTCCTATTGCTTTTAATGTTGATAGATATGACATATCCAAGGGATGTAATATGTTGTTCAATGCGTTTATGCATTTACTGTCTGTGATGTAACAGTGTAGTTTCAGGATAAAGGGACTTTGAAAAGCAAGATTTATGGATGTCAACTTCTATATTGTGAATAAGACGACGTTTAACGTCATACTCAGACGTCGAAACGTCGTGTTATTCACAATAAAGAAGTTGACATCCATTAACCTTGCTTTTCCAAGTCCTTTCTAATATTAAAGGAAGGCCAGTTATGCAATACAAACACGAGACCAGTGGGCTGATGAGGTGGTGATAAGCATAGGTGATGAACATATTAATAAGATGAGAAATGTGTGTATTTAGATAAGTGAGTCCCACAAGCACATGGTAAGTAGATTCCGAAGGAGCAAGCATACACTCCGAAACGTCGTGTTATTCACAAGTTGACATCCATTAATCTTGTTTTTCTTATGCATTCCACTTCTAGATGCCCTTTAAAGATTTGAAATCATTTAGTGCGTTTAGAATCCTTTGTTAAAAATGCCATTATTAAAAACAACATGCAGTGTCGATCTTTTTCGATTTAGAAAAAGCATATGACACCACATGGAAACATGGTATTTTAAGAGATTTACACGATTTGGGATTGAGAGGCCGTTTGCCTCTTTTTTTATATCACAGTTTTTAACGGACAGGCAATTTCAAGTTCGCGTGGGTTCTACCCTGTCTGATCATTACAATCAGGATCAGGGTGTCCCACAAGGCAGTATTTTAACTTAACAGCTCTTAAATATATTCAACGACATCCCCAACATAAACAATATATAATATTTTCTGACTCTCTTTCTTGCATTCAGGCTATTAAAAATCTCTCTTGCAAACATCCACTTTTAATTGAAACAATCGAATTATATAATGATCTTGCTACTGGCCAATGCGACATCGTCTTTTGTTGGTTACCCAGCCACGTTGGCATTTCCGGGAACACAATGGCTGCTCTTGCTGCCAAGGCAGCACTCAACAAATCTGTGACACCACTTCTTATTCCATATTCTGATTATAAAGCTGGCATTAGAACTTACATCCGTGATCTGATGCAGAAGAAGTGGGACAACCAAGTAGGTATTAATAAACTACATGCAATAAAACCTTATATTGGTTACACCTACTTGGGTTGTCAGTCCAGATTTGAGGAGGTCATTATGCGACGATGTCGCATTGGCCATACGCGTTATACTCACAAATACCTATTGAAAGGTGAGCATCCTCCGTTTTGTATCCCTTGTGATGACAGAACCACGGTCAAGCATGTCCTGCTTGACTGTGTTGAATTTTCCATCATAAGGGATAAATATTTCAATGTAAAAACAATGAAGGATCTTTTTACAAATGTTAATTATCATTTAATTATTGTTTTTTTAAAAGAAATTGATTTGTTTGATGAATTCTGATTAATGTGGTTTATAAATAGATATATTTTAAAGATTGGTAATTTCGATTAGTGCCTTAGATTGTTAGTGGCTGTACCCTCAAAGGAGGTTAAAGTACTGTAAAATTATTGTCCTCCTGAGAGGGTACGTAAGTCCCAAAACTTTCAAAGTAGACTTTTCACATACCAAGTTTTTAAACGTAGTATTTTTGTTCATTTAGATTTCAGCTAAATTGTCCTACAATCAGCAGCTGAAGGGATGGTGTAAATCCAACTAGGGTCCATGCAGGTAGCAAAGGTACTGTAAGTCCCCATGGACCCTAGTATGGTGACCTACTTTCAGTTGTTGGTGATCTATAGCCAATTTTTATATTGTGTTGTCCCCTGTGGTTAAAATGTTTTAGACTATATTACTAGTTTTACATGTATATCTGTGATATTCTAGTTGTTTTACTGCGCTTCGTCGGCAGGTTTTTTGTAGTATACATATATTTCATTTCAATGTCAAATGTTCTCGTCACGATATGGCTGAGATATTGCCGATGTGACGTTAAATTGTAACTCACTCACTTAAAGATTTGAAAAGGACTTTGGTGTCACATTTAATATTTTCCAGTTTAACAGCTGTTCTCAGCAGTGTAGGATCTGCTGGTGTCCCTGGCTCTGGTTTTGCTATGCTGTTGTTTGTTCTGAAAGCTATTGGTCTCCCGGAACGAGGAATATCTTTCTTGGTTACCGTTGATTGGTTGATGTAAGTTACCCTTATCATCACATGCTAATGCTTTGTCTGACACATAGAGTGACCTGTATTGAAAACTATAGATATTTGAATCTCAGTTATTACATTATCTAAGTAGCTGTTCAAGTTCATGATATTTTGCTGTCATTATGTTGACCTCGGAGCAAAAAAAAACTATTCAACAACTACCTCTCCCATTTTGCCTAAAACAAGCTAAAGTCTCAAGATAATCATAACTGATACAGTTTGTATGTGTTTCGAAGATCGAAGTTAAGAGTGATATTCTCTGATTAAAATATTACCGCGCTTGTGTGTTTGTGGGCTGGTAAATATGCTGTATTGTAAATACATTGTATGTAGAGAGCCTTGGAACTTGTGTTCTGAGTCGACGTGTCTCGATGGGTGTCTCGATGGCATTGTTTCATATGGTTTCATAGAGATTGATGAACACATGTCCCGTCGTCGTATCGCATGGTGACCCTCACCGGATCGCCCAGACTCCCAGTTTACGAACAACATTGTACAGCTGTAATACTGCTGAAACAAACACATACTCATGATATAGGCAGAATTGTACAATCGATTCTAATTTTAGCAGGTATTTCTTATGGATGTGAAAATGGTTTTGGCGCTTCTAATTGTTGTTAGTGTCATAAACATTTGATCTTTCCAGGGATCGTTTCCGCACAATGGTAAATGTGGCCAGTGATTGCCTGGTTGTTGGAGTTGTCTCCCATTACACTAAACTGTCCCCAAGTGACACATCAGAGACTCAAGGCGAGCCTCTGCGGGAGGAGCAGGAGATGCTGGAGAATGACCTGGTGTGATGAACAACCATCTCCTTACACGCCGCAAACTCCTCTCGTGAAGACCAATTTTGTTTTAAGTCAACAAAACGTGAACTTCAGTAGGCATGTTTTGTAATGTACATATCATATATATGCTGTCACAAAAAAAATTCTGATGAGTGTGCACGTTTAAACTCCCTTTAGGGTCAGTGGCAGGTTAGAAGTTGGCTTTCCTTTTCAGTCATGGTTTTTTTTGTACAGGTACTACATGTAACGATGAATAGGCTTACCGTTTCATGAACACATTGTTTAATCACTATTTGATTTTGGTAAAATTGATGAAAACCTTTTGGCTGATACTGATAAATGGTGGTTTGATAAGACTAGTAACGTAACTTTTTATACCTACTCGTTTTGGCGTCAGTAGTTTCGTAACTTTTTATACCTACTCGTATTGCTGTTCCATGTTGTCCGGAGGGGCGGTGGGATAGACTAATGATTAAAGCGTTGGCTCGTCACGCCGAAGACCCGGGTTCGAATCCCCACATGGGCACAATGTGTGAAGCCCATTTATGGTGTCCCCCGCCGTGATGTTGCTGGAATAGTGCTGAAAGCGGCGTAAAACCAAACTCAGTCAGTCAGCCATGTTGTCCGGGGAGTGTAAGCTTGGGCTCTACACTCGCCTGGTTCGTCGAGTGTTGCTGAATCAAGCAGTGAGGGGGAGACGAGACGACCTGGACTCTAACTTGTCTACATCAAATTCATGCACCGGCGCACATTCATACAATGATTACCTAAACATCGGGTTCTGTACTCATAAAGTTAACTCAGTCCCTCCCTTCATTACAAGGTGACTCGGACTGGACACGACAGGACAGGCTCTTTACTAAATGTGGAACTGCAACGATCGCGATGTCAACGTTCTGCTGATTTCGAAAACCGCACCCCTTTGCTAGTGTTGACGGAGTCTTTTTAAGGTGTTCGAACCTCCTCCGCCCTTGTCACATGTCCCGATACAACATTTCTGATTCGTTCAAAGTTACATCATTCCATGGTCTCATGTCTTATATCGTGATAAAGAAAAATACTGTAAATTACTCGTTGCTGACTCAGCGTTAACTAACACTTTAAAAGCCTTTTGCATTCTGCTACTCCCAGCTATTATGTTCTATATCTCCGGATTTATTGCCAGGCATCACGAAATAACCGCAATTCTCAATAATGGGTTTGGAAGTTTAGAAGATCCATTTTTACCTTATAACAATACCGTGTAAAAGTTATTGAAAATACGTCTAGTATTTTGCTTCAGTATAATGTTGAATAATTTAATTTGAGCATGGAGTGAGACTTTTCTTTAGTACGATTTCTATTAATCATTACATACAAGTCTTTTGCTTGTGTGAAAAAACCCACAACAATATATCACATTTGTGTTTCTGTTCTAATTGAGTCTAAACGGCAGGGTATTTTTCAAAGAATGTATTCTTTCCTATCAGTGTTTAATATTTTGTCAAATACTGCTGTTGATCACTGGATTGTCTGGTCCAGCCTCGATTATTTACAGACCGCCGCCATATATTCGGAATCTTGCTGAGTGCGGCGTAAAACTATACTCACTCACTCACTTAAATACTACGTTAATAATTACACATATTGGATAAATAGTCGCATTCGTGTTTCCATTTCATTTCAAATACGTTAAGAACTATATGTCATTGTTCTGGTGGTGCTCTATTTTAGGAATAATGCATGCATCTTACAAGAGAAAATGGTTTGTACATTTGGGCTGAATAAAGTTTTTATCAGCAACTGAGAGCATCAGACACACTAATTAAGATTACTGGTGTTTTGAATTTAAGGTCAGACAAGATGAAGTCAGTTTCAAGTTGCTCTGATCAGTTCACTCATGAAGCGTCATCAGTTGTGTTCTAATACTGAACACAATGTATGGATAACAACCTCTTTATTTCGTGAGTGCGACGTTTCGATACAGATTCTGTTGTCAAGCAGGAATGGAACATTCAGAAAAGTTGATGCATATATACTGAATGTAACAAAGAAAACAACATAATTAACATAACTGGATATGCAGAAAGCTGATGAAGCCAGTGAGTTGACAAAGGAAAGGCGTGGAAGCCAGATATAGGTTTTTGCATAATAAGTGGATCTGTATTTGGACATAACTCCATTAATGTCTTTCTCTGACGTTGAATTATAATTTAGAAATATAGAAAACATCATGCATTTTCTGTGTCGTTAAATCTTGGCTTAAGACATAGTATAGGCCCGTGAAGATCCGGGTAAGAATTGGTCTTTAGCAACTCATGCTTGTAAAAGGTGATTAACGGGATCGGCGGTCAGGCTCGCTGACTTGGTTGACACATGTCATCGATGCTCATGCTGTTGATCACTGGGTTGTCTTGTCCAGACTCGATTATTTAGAGACCGCTGCCATATAGCTGGAATATTGCTGACTTAAACAACCAACCAGCCAACCACCCTGGTTGACGTTAACGATACATGCCAGTAATTAACAGCATGAGTATCGACCTACGCAATTGGGATGCGATGACATGTGTCAACCAAGTCAGCGAGCCTGACCACCCGCCTTTTAAGACAAGTATGGGTTGCTGAAGACGGGTCCAAGCCAACTAGGACAGAAACTCACCATTACTGTTATTCATATCTCGAACACTGTCGCACACAGTGGCCTTCGTATAAGGAAGCGCTACCTTGGTGTGGGATAGTGCATTTCTCATCCGTGTCATGCCAATAGATGTCACATGATGGAACTTGTTGTTACCCTGATTCATGCTCGGAATTATTAGAATAAAGAACTGGAAGAATCGGTATTATTAGAATAAAGACTGACTGACTGAGTTTGGTTTTACTTCGTTTTAGCAATATTCCAGCAATATCACGGCGGGGACAGTGCAATGGGCTTCACCGTTTCGAACCCGGATGACGAGCTTGTTGCTTTAACCACGGACTACCCACCGTCCCATTAGAATAAAGAACTGGAAGAATCGGTATCAGTGTAATGACCGTTTCTGGGCCCGGTCCACGGAACGTTCGTAGCACTGCGACATTCGTATGTTACGAACGCTTTGTGGGTCGGGGCCTGAGTCGTTTTGCCTGTGGCATGGTTTGTCAGTGAGCGTCCCTACAAACCAGCATTAGTCTAGACTAGAACCAGCAACCCTATACACGCGTACATGCACTTTCCTGTAACTGCAAGAATCTTGAATGCGACGTTAAGCACCATTTCACCTCGCCTTAGCTCATCACCATTGACATTTGATCCATTAGGTAAGCTAATCTTTGCACATTTTTCAACACATAATCACGTCTGGGGATCAAAAACTAGTTTGGGTTTGGTTTGTTGTTTAACGCCACACGCAGCAATATTCCATCTATCTATGTGTAAACAATCGCGTCTGGACCAGACAATCCAGTAATCAACAGCATGATCATCGATCTACGCAACTGGGATACGATGACATGTGTCTTCCAAGTCAGCGAGCCTAACCACCCGATCCCGTTAGTCGCCTCTTACGACAAGGATGGGTTACTGAAGACCAATTCTAACCTGGATGTTCACGGGTCAAAACTAGTAGTTTACATTAGTTCATCCCTTTGCCTGGGTACGACCTAAAGGCATTGCTCCTGACTACACAAACCTGTATTTTGTTGTGTATTACATGTACGTTGCTCGTGCCCTTAGTTTTGCAATTGAATATTTGAAAAACGAATGAGCAGAAAAAATTAACACATATTAATTCAAACTCAAAGTCAAATTAATTTTGACGTATGATGACAAATCACATATACTAATCGCAGAAAGTCAGAAAGTTCAATATTCAGATATGATCAGAAAGAATAAAGACATAAGAACAAATCTCCACCCACAGGTAAATAAATCTGTATATAAGTGCGTTGAAAGAAAATATATTGAGGAGTAATAAATGGGTCGTGCACGGTTCTGAATGAATGCAATTTAAACGTGTAAGGAGATGCTTTGTGTTTCACACCAGGTCACTCTCCAGCATCTCCTGCTCCTGCCGTAGGGGCTCACTTTGTGTCTCCGATGTGTCACGTGGCGGGAGCTTCGTGTAATGGGAGACAACTCCTACGACCAGACAATCACTTGCAACATTTACCATTGTGCGGAAACGATCCCTGAAAAGAAAGAATGATAAAGCCTCGTCATTGAGACACGTCAACTGTGTTGCTAAAATTACTCTCGTCATTCTTGAATTCTGTCGTTGGTACCCAAACATTGCAAGTGTTCCTGGAATGCGAGCAGTAACACATTACGTTAAAAGGCCAGTATAGTTGGAACTGAAACACTAACTTTTAATATCTTATTAGTTATAACAAACTAGTGATAGTTTTCAATGAAGGTATAACAACGGTTATACTGGTTTTACTGCATATTTGCATCCGTACCATTTTGTTTCGTTGGCTTTATCATGAAAGGTACCCATTATATGGTAACCATTTTCAGAAGGATACCAACGCAGTAACTCTTTGTTAACACCAGCAAATGTGATTTCAATCATCATCTTGACATTGTAGGTTGTTTTAAGCACAATGAGAAAGGTATTTGTTGAGTAATATTTTGGTCAACATAAGGATGGCCGCTCATTATGATCTAGGACTGCTCATAGACTACATGTAGAATACAACAGCTGTGGCACCGTAGAATTTGGCCATGTATGAATATATTCTAATAAGTATAGCTCACATCAACCAGTCAACGGCGACCAAGAAAGAGATGCCCTGATCCGGGAGACCAATAGATTTTAGGACAAGCAACAAGACCGCAAAACCAGCACCAGGTACAGCAGCAGATCCTATACTGCTTAGGATAGCTGTAAAACTGGAAAATATTTCAATACGACACACAAACCATCAGTCATGAAAACATTTGTTTTCACTATTTAAATTATAGCAAATCGGTCTGTCCATATATGTAAAAAAGCATTTTTCACAATATTTTGAAATTTAAAAAGATATAGAATACACGACAAGTAGGTGAAGAGGCTCGTTGCACAAATCAATGCAATTAATTCCAATTGTTTTGATATTTTGTGGTGTAACTATGTAAATTGTGTGGGATAGTAGGATTATATGTTTTACGCCGCACATAAATAAACGTGAATACAACGTCATGTATATATTAGCAGATACATGATGAAAGATGATGTCTTCTGCTAGCCCATTGGTCATCAGACCTCCTTACATCCTGTTTCCATTAAACGTTTTGGTGAAGGTTTATTGATTTCCTTCATAGATTCCATGTAGCAGATACAACGCACATATGCTCTTCGGGGCGGTGGGGTAGCCTAGTGGTTAAAGCGTTGGCTCGTCACGCCGAAGACCCGGGTTCGAATCCCCACATGGGTACAATGTGTGAAGCCCATTTCTGGTGTCCCCCGCCGTGATGTTGCTGGAATATTGCTAAAAGCGGCGTAAAACCAAACTCAGTCAGTCAGACATATGCTCTTCAAAACTCAAAACTTGTAGCCGAGAAATTCCACCAGTTTACCAACGTACCTTATGATTATTACATCTCCGAATGTCAGGCTGATTCCATTGTACTGAGCTATGAACACGGGAGCAATGGCAGCAAACACAGCAGCGCCGTCCATGTTGACTGTGGCCCCACTGGGAGGATGAAACGGGAAATCCGTGTGTCCATCTTCATCCGCTGCTCCACACACTGCATCGTCACCGGCAGCGTGGCAGCACTGGAAACAGATCCAACTGTCATGTAAAGTAGGCTGAGCTCATAATTACTGATGCCAATATCAAAACATCCAGTTGTTAATATTTGAGTTAATATTTCTAGAAACCAGGGTGTATCACGTTAATATTTAGGCAGTACCCGAGCTTAAATCAAAATGGCTACCAGAACATGAGCCAAACGTGTGATTGTGCCTTGTCTATTAAATGCAGGCAAGAAGAGTTCAAATAAAGCTAAACATGGAATCTCATATCCAGTGCATTCTATTTCACACAGGATATTTCTAATATATACTATTCACACAAGGATTACAAAAATTCACAACATTAGTGCAACGTAATTATCAAAGATGACAGAGATCGAATATTCTTTCATATTCTTATCAGCTATAAAGTATTACTGCATTGAGAGTTGGTTTCGATTAGGTCAGTTGTGATTAGTTCGTGTCAAGGCTTGGACACGATGAGGAATCATTGCCGCATTACGCCCTTGCGATCACATTAATGTTGTGATCATATATGATCGTTCTGTTTTGGTGTATATGAGTTTAGTTTTGATGATTTGTTCACCGTTTGTATGGTAGGCCTGAAAATGGCATTTGTCAATGTGATGAATGCAGAACGGACTCAGTTACTACTTAAATAATAAAAATGTATACCTGGAACTTGTTGCAAAGGCTGTCAGCAGAGCTTGTGTTGCCTTGAGGTATATTGCATATGGGTTCTTTCTGGTCAGAATGAAATACAAGCCAGGAAGGACCACCAATGAATGGATTGCCAATCCAGCCATTTCAGTTGTGATGTAGATAGCCAGTGTTTGTCCAGTCTCCGTCATGTCAGTTGTGGACATTATCTGGCACATGACGAGGAACAGTATGCCAAGTGGTGAATACCTGCAACACAAAAATACAATATTGCTGGATGGATGTTTAATGGACAGACTCAGTGTCTTGTCTTGCTGTTGTATTCACGTGTCAGGAATGTTTCAATTTACGGCCCATATCAGAGGTTGATACACTCTCTCAAACAGGAAACGCATGGAGGTAAATCAGTAGGAACACATTTTCTTTTTTTAATGACAACCACAAAGTAAACAAAAATCACATAGATATCAATGTTTGCATGATTGGGGTCATTGGGTAGCTGCACCAAATGAATGAAAGTTTATGTCACCACTACGTCAACGTTGCACCGGACGCCGGCTTTTACGTCACTTACGGTAGTGACACTCCGTTTGCTTGGAGCACAGCTTGGCATCTCCAGGGCATAGACAGAATAAGTGTTCGGAATCGAGCCCTGGGTATTTTAGACCATTCATCCTGCAATGCTTGTCGTAGTTGGTGAAGCGTCTGGGGTCGTGGATGACGTCATTGCAGCCGTCGATCGCGATAATCTCATAGGTGTTCGATTGGGTTTAAATCTGGGGATTTAGAGGGCCATGGAAGCACTGAAATGTTCTGGTTGGTGAAGAAATTCATTGTGATGCGTGTTGTTTGGGGTATGGCGTTATCCTGCTGGAAAATCTGTCTCTGTGGGTCGAAAATTGGAAGGAGGTGACGTTGCAGGATTTCATCTCTGTAACGAATGGCGGTTAGATTCCATTGTACATGCACAATGTCAATTCTTTGGTTCTAAGAAATTTCCGCCCACATCATCACAATTCCTTCTCCAAATCTGCCAACCGGCGCGACACAGATAAGGGCGTCGGTACACTCTGGTTCTACCATCATGGCGCTGCAGCATGAAACTCTTTGCCAGTGTCTCCAATCCCATCTTTGAACGTTCTTGCTCATAGTATACATCCAACGTAAGGTCTTCTTGCACGCAGTCCACTCTGCTGTAGGCGATTTCTACTAGTCTGTGCAGAAACATTCTGTAGTCCTGGGCATATCTTCCGGTTTCATTTGCTGCCACAGTCCACAGATGGAACCACCGGATGTGACGATCCTGTGCCCCAGTTGAAGCCCTTGGCCTACTACTTCGCGGGCGGTCCCGGGTGGATCCAAGTTGTTGGTAACGACCCCAAAGTCGTGCGACGGATGTGACTGACTCTCCATCCTCTAGACGGCCAATTGCAATATATCGATCTTCTGCTCCAAATCTTGGCATTTCTAAAGTCACCGTGAAAGCTCATAAATGCGACTAGAAATATCATTGTGTCATTTCTTTATAAACCTCACAAGTTCACCAGTTTGCACGTGCATCACGCACTAGGGTCCATGCATTTCGGAAAATGACGTGTTTAGGGTTAATGTTTTTATCAGGTAATGTGGTTTGGCGATTGAGCACGAGTTTAAACCTGCATCAGCATATTTTGCTGTCAAGACAAAAGTTTTGTAGTTTGCCTTGGATTAAACTTCGTTTGAAAATTAAAATTCACCCGTGCATTTCTTTTTTGAGAGAGTATATTTAAAGGCACAGTAACAGGCAATCAAAGAGGTGTCGTGGGACACCAGTCGTGCAACAAAGAGGAATCCCCTCTGACCTGTTATAAACGAGCGAGTGTGGTTTTACGCCTCCTCTCTCTCCCCCTCCCTCGTGTACCTACCACATGACTAGTCTGATCATCTTGAAAGTAACGATGTTGATGACAGTGAAGAATTCCACCACTGGTCCACGACGATCTATCCGACTGAGCGTCACGCCGAAAACAATGCAGTAGGTAATGACACCTGTCACAAGAAAATTGTGGAATGACAGGCTAGCACGCCATTCTTAATAAGAAACATGTCAACATTGTGCCCACGTTTTTAGATCCAATATTCATATCAAGTGTTCAGTTCAACACATGATGTGACATTCACTGATACCTAATCACACTTTATTTGGATCCCAGTAAAAGTGGGTACAATGATACATGACTATCAAATCAAAATATACTCTTCAAAAAAGAAACTTGACAAAGGACAAATTTGAATTTTAGGAAAATATTTGACACAAACCAATCCATGCTGAATCGCAGCATGTGGGGGAATGGTTGCCAACGACAAAACGTTTGAAAAAAAAAACGTTTAACAAAAACGTAACGTTAAACTCATGTCTGTAGTGAATCGCTAAAACGCACCATACATGAAATGCACGAGCATAATGAAATTGTACTCAATGGTATGCATTGCTTTAAGCCACTATAGACGGCAAGACTGGCAGAAGCTCAACGACACAACGCCATCGGCCGTTTACAAGGACGGACATCGCAGCAGTAAAGGCAAGGCACTTCAGCGTGTCCAGACAGACCATCTCAAACCTATGGACCCGATACAAAAATACTGGGAGTGTTAATGACAGACCAAGCCCAGGTCGACCTGGAGTTACCACCGCCGCCCATGATCACGGTTGAGACATTTTCGTTCAAACACCACGGCCGCATCATGCACAACAATCCAAATCCCTAGACTGCTCCGATTTTCCGACCAGACAGTGCGCAATTGACTATGGAAAGCCAGACTTTTGCCAGAAGACCAGTTCGACGTCACGTCGTTCCCTACATCAACGTGATCTTTGGAGCATGACAATGCTCGCCCTCACGTTGCACGTGTTTGACAGGTCTCCCTCCAGCAAAACAATGTTCAGTTGTTACCTTGGCCTTCTCGATCACCGGATTTGTCCCCCATTGAACATCTATGGGATACTCTTGATCGACGCTTGCGCCAGCGTAATCCGCCACCTCAGACACTACAAGAACAGCACACAGCACTTCAGCAAGTGTATACAAACATTCCTCAAGACAGCATTCGACATCTCCTTTCTTCTTTGGGTCACCGCTGCCAAGCTGTTATCGATGCTCATGGTGGTCACACCAGATACTGACATTTTACACTGACCAAGTGGCTTTAATAGCCCTCTGTGGTTTTACCAAACACTTTCTGGATAATCCTGTTTTGGAAATTTGTGACGAGCAATAATGTCATGTTTGAATCAGTTATATGCACTCAGTAAGTAAACTCCAAAACAGCATGTCAAGTTTCTTTTTTTTTGAGAGTATATAATAAATAATCAACCAATCAGTTAAACCAGCTTTGAGTTGCCTGGGAACACCTTTTCCTTTGTCAACAAGAGGTATTGTTACGGAATGCTAATCTTGTGCTCAGTGGTTTTAAAACAAAGCGTATTTAACGTATTAGAAATACTGAGTGAGTTACACTTTACCGTAACATCTCCATTATTTCAGCCATATAGCGCTTGTTGTAATCTACTGTGGTGTGTTTGCAGAAGCCAACATAATCGGTTATACCTTCATGTAAAAATCTCAACCCACAGGCCTGAGTACGTTGTTCCTAAATATAAATATTTTGACAATATTTTATCACTCATGTAAGTATTGTTTGGACAGTGCATCCTTAAGATCATAACCAAAAGAGAGATTTCAGATGACTAAACCTCTTAGTCTTTCGAACTGCCTAACCATAACCAATGTATTATGAAATGGCATTTAGATATAGAAAGATCACTGCAAGACAGATTGTATAGATTTTTGAAACTTCATGTAACTGTGAATGATATAGTAAAACAGGCCAGACAACATTACTTAAATCTATTAACATTTAGAACTTAGTGTCCTTGGCTACCAACTGAGGAAATAGATTTCATAAACCACTTCCGGTAGACGTGTGTGTACATTATGCAGTCATATTGACCGAGGTGACGAAAATTAAAGAAAATGCGAACTGTTCGATGGCTGCATAGTTTTTAGAAAGCACATATCAAAATGAAAACATGTTTCAATGATAATGCATTGGGTTTACTTTTGCGACTTCATAACCATTCGGCTTAATCTAGTTTGTTTGGTCCAAAAGTGCATGCTCATCAATTTATGCCCAGAAGGAATGCAGGTTTTTTATTATGCTAACATTTATATAACGCCAATATCCAGCTCAGCTGCTCAAAGGCGCTTTGATTTCCCCTCGAT